TTAAAGTGTACCCTAAAACGTTGGATATTGACGTATGGTCAGTTAGATGACGTCTTGGGTTGAGAATGTGTTGGAATGGATCATTATCTGTTGGTGAATGGATCACCAACATTCACCAAATATTAAATTAGAAAATTATATTTTACTCTAAATGTAAAAAAAAAAAAAAAAAAATTCCTCTATTCGCCGAAAAGAAAATAACCCTTGATAAACTCTTTTAAAGTTCTCTGAAAGAGATGAGCTTTGTTGTCTGCACTGAGGTAGGTTTAAAATTACAGCAGAGATTCGAGCAGCACGTTAGTGATTATGACCCAATCCTAAATGCAACATGAGCTAGCTAATGGGCTGTTATACTTTCAATTAAAAATAATAATAATAATAATACTATAAAAATTAAGCACAGACCTTGGTCTTCCTCACTAAGAGCCAAAAGCTCTGTAAAAGAAATCCCAAGGCTGAATTCAAAACTTAAAGATAATGTTATCCAGTGAAGGGTGATGAAAAAACCATTTATAGTGCTCAAACTGTGATTAGTCATTTGATGACTGACTGACGATGGAAAAGCTACTATAGCTTGTTATTATAGACCCTATAACATGGTGAAACTAAAGTATACTACCTATTTGACTGTACTGAAGTGTCAGAGAGCTCAAAATATGTCTCTTTTCTCACATTCATATTGATGTACTTTAGGGGGTAACCATGTTATATGTTTGGATTGTTTCAACAAACCTCATAAAATGTTCACGAACATCCATTTATGTGATGATAGCTGGTACCAACTGGAGGTCCATGAGGATTTGTATGTTTGAGTGGCTATAGATTCAGGATAAGAAACTGACACTCTTTATAAGTAGCTGGGACATGGGCTAAAAGCTCTGGAGAGCTTTTGGGGGGGGGGGGCTCCTTGATGACATTTAGGTTCAGTAATACCATTCTGAAACCAGCAAGGTTTATTTATACAAGTTAATGCACGAAACTCAAACTCTGTCTTAACAGCATGACATCACCCCAAACTGGGGTCTGACACTCCAGAACCAGTTGGAAGTGTTTTGAAATAATGTTTAGAGTAGATTGAAACTGAATTCACTCTCGAATAAATATACAACTCTTGCAGATCGTGTGCTCAGCATGTTACCCCTTGGACCCTGTGGTAGTGAAGGATGTACAGTCGCACCATTAAATAATTCAGCCTCGTAATTTAATACTCTCAAAAATACCTGCATATTATCAGGATGCCTGTCAGGCTCAGAATGCACTGTTGGGATGTTGCTTAAGAAAAGCGGTTGGCAATTTTCATGTCTGAAAATGTTCCCTCATAAACAAACAACGGTGCTAAGTTGCAGCTCCTACTAATTACGCAAATTTCAACAGCAGTCCCTTAACTCTCACTTTAGTTGTTTTTACCCTCATTAAACCATCAAAGCCACTTAAAAATAAATATCAAATATGTGCACCCACCTACACAATTCCACCCAAACACCTACAACCCAGTTGAACGTGTTGATGATTCAGCTGTTAGATAATGAAGCCAAAACATTTCAAGGCGATGAATGTAAGTTTATTTTGAAATAAGCTTGCTTTACACGTAATTAGCATTTGCTGTAGCTATTTTTCATTTCTTTAAGCAAAGCCTGGCCAAATGATAGCATGCAGAGCAGCAGTTTAAAACTGTGTGCTTAAACAAATTTCAATTTGTAATTCCTATTTGGACTGTATTTTCCACTTGGTTAGCTTCACACAACTCTGAAAACCACAGGAATATAATAAATTCAGTCTTCAAATTGTGTCATTTTATTAGTGTCAAGCTCAAAACGAGCGTTAATATTAGGAGTGTAACAATATATCGTAATACAAAAATGTATTATGCAAAAATACGTATTGTGGATAGTGACAATATGTATCGTGGATAGTGACAATATGTATCATGGATAGCATAGTCCAAGTCCAAGCCTATTCATTTAAACCTACAAAGTAATATCAAATTTAGCATTTTAATCAACAGTACATTTTTTGTACAATTTTTTGAACCTTTTACATATGTTTTGGAGTATCGTAATAATATTGTATCGTGAGTTCAGTATCGTGATATGTATCGAATCGTGACAAGAGGGTATCGTTACACCCCTAGTTACTATGCTTACTAAAATACATTTAGAAGCTTGAAGAAAATCCCACTGAAACTTTCCTGCCTACACAACTGAAAATGTATTTAAGAAAATGAGCACTTTTCAGTGCATTAAACTCAAATGTAATATCCATAACCACATGTTCTAGTCAAGCCGCAAACAAAGGAGCATTCAGAAGAGGAGACAAATTCAAGCTCTAGTGATATTGATAAGCATGTCAAATATGTTTACCCAAGCACACAAACACTGGTTGCTACAAGCAATTCCTGACTAGAAAAATTCACAAGTCCACAAACACTACTTCTGAACAAATTACCATCGTAAGCTACAATTATTGATTAAAACAGTACAATTGGGGTAACTTTGAGGTATTAGCAACCATTGACATTAGAGTTTAAAGTGACTGAAAAAAGCTTATGTTGCTTGATATTGCAAAACTGGTTCAGTATGAAGAGTTCAGATGCAAAAGCCTCTAAATGCCATTTGAAATTTTCTTCTTGAATGATGATTTTTATCAAACTTGTATATTTAAGTTCAGTAATTTCATTTAAATAACAATTAATAGGTAATCATCATTGCCATTTAAGTGAAATCACTGAACTTAAATATACAAGCTTGATAAAAATGATCATTCTAGAAGAAAATTTCAAATGGCACTTAGAGGCTTTTGCATCTGAACTCTTCATTTATTACTTATTATTTTAATATTTTGTCATGTTTATAAGTATGGTTTGTAGTGCAAATAGTTTGCTGTACTTTGTTACTCTTATTGTTATTTACCAACAGCTACCTATTTAGGCTCTGCGGACTATAAATCGGTGGTTCAGATTCAGTTTTATGCAATTATTAAATTAAGGATCTGATAAATTGGGCAAGGACTGTTTCTGGTATGCAGAAAGATCTCACTTAGACCACAGATTGCTGACAGATTAGGCCAGGATTAAACCACAAATCAACCTCCTGTGAATGCCTCCAAGGTCAAAAATGCCTTGAATATTTCTGAGGTCTTCGTGCTATTCAAATTTTGAAGTTTATACATGTTTTTCATTCCATAATGATAGGATACAAGAAAAAAAGCTTCTTCAGCTGAAAAACTTTATCAGTCCAGACATGCAGACTACACCAAGATGATGACAGAAAACATAAGAATGAAAAAATAAAAAACCTTAAAGACAGAGATGGACATTCAGGGAAACTGCCTATATCCCAAAACAAAACTTTACTGTAAAAAAAAATAATAATAATAATTAAAAAAAAAAAAAAAAATCACAATATTAAAGGGTAGTTCACCAAAAAAAAAAAAAAAAAACCCCAAAAAAACGATCATCATTTATTCAACCTCAAGTTGTTCCAAACCTTTATGAATTTATTTCTTCTGCTTATCAAAAGATATTCTGAAGAATGTCAGTAACCAAACAGCTGGTGGTCACCATTGACTTCCATAGTATTTTTTCCCATACTATGGGCCCATCAACTGTTTAGTCAATGACATTCTTCAAAATATCTTCTTTTAGGTCCAGCAGAAGAATGAAATTCATACAGGTTTAGAACAAATTAAGGTTGAGTAAATGATGACAGAATTTTGGTGTGAACTATCCCTTTAAACTATATCAACCTGACTATGATGCAAGTAATTTCAGGTCAGATCAGGCAGAAATATATCTATAATGTAAACAGTTCCTCCATTTTTTTTAATCAAATCAACATTTAAATTAAAAAAAAAAAAGAAGAAAAAGAAGAAGAAAAGAAAACAAGGCACATTCAGAATGAGAATCATTGACAGGATTTGGAAAGAAATTCCACATTTTAATTAGCCTGGGGACATTTCCTCTGGAGCCTGCCAGTTTCTTAGCCACATGTCAATCACAATTTGCTTGAGTTTGCCAGAAGCTACGCACACAACTCACTGAATATGACAGTCAAAATCAATATTATGACAAATCTGATAAGAAAACCCCCCTCAGATGCACCCCAGTCTAAAACCTTTGGCCAGCGCACCGTGTCAGTGTCTTTCACAAAGGAAAAGTGTGGTGTCCATGATTTTACAGTTAGCTTAGACAGTATTGGTTTGATTTACTGTGAACTGAAATTCCACATGGACTCTCAACCATGACCAACGCTGGGGTGTGGATTTTTATATGACAGACTTTCCACAGCATTTTCCTCAAAGAGAAAGACTGAGAGAGGCATGGGCAATTTGCTTTGGGCTAGGGTTTTCATCTACAAAAGGATGCCCCCATTTATCTCTGGATTTCGTTGTAAACATGCCAATTCAAGACCAGAAAAAGAACAGTTGACATTCCTGCATTAAACCACTTGAGCTGACAGAAAACCACATTTTAGAAGCTCAACCACCATAACGGTGAGGGGAAACAAATAAAATAGACTCCAGATGTATTAATGGCAGTGCAAGTGACTTTATCCAAATCATCTACAGTACAGTACATGTCCATTATCCACTGTGCATTAGACTTAATAAAAGAAAATAATCATAAAAAAAAATGAGAGAACACTTTATTATTTTAAGTTGAACTATATCACATTTTGGCAAATTGGTGGCAAATTGGAATGAATTTGCTCGATTATAATCAATAATCAATAAGCATGATTCACCCCTAAACCCAACCATGAAAGAAGATTGTACAAATGGAAATCACAAAAATGCATGACCAATTATCCGTGTATATATATAACTGTGGAGGAAAGTAGTAAAATTAGCGTTCAAAATGCATTAACCTGTAAAAAGTAAGAGTAGTATTGGGATTTTCATCTATTAACATTTGTCTAAAATGATGACCAATAATTAGTTTCGGATTTAATTTAAGTGAACATTGCACAGACACTAACACACACACACACCTGTTGCCTTACCTTTGTGAGATAGTCGTAATCTTGGATACACACTCCTTGCCGATTGAGTTGCCGAGCTGATCCATAGTGTCATGCAAAGCATGAAGGTCCACACACCCCATGCCATCCTCACACACTCCTCTTAAAAGTCTCACACTGACTCCTTATGATCCACCACAAGCAGCCTCCATCCGCTGACAGACTGAATTGTCGGTTAAAGAAGAAAACTAGTAAGCTGTCATGAGAGAATTGTGATGAAACTCACTTCATTGACGTTTAGGGTGTGTGAGTGTGGATTTGAGATGCTTCTGTGGATTCCAGTGTAAAGAAAAGTGTCTAAACCGAGTGTAAGGCTGTGACTCAATGCTGGCTGACTGTTCCTGTCACTCTTACCACAGCCGATGGATTCCTCTAACTCATAGCACTATGTGTGCGAGTATGAGTGTGTCAGACATCAAGCACGCTGATCTTGGAGTGCTTCCACCTCCTCCTCCTCTAATGAGAAGAAGCCTCTTTTCTCTCTCTCTCTCTCTGCTCTGTGAAATACTGCCCTTCCACGTGCCAGCCCTCTCTCCCTCCTGACTACTTCAAGTCCCCTGCCGCACATATGGACAACAGCCAAACACTCCGCTCCACTCCCATCCACCCCCACCTCTTCTCTTTCACTCTCTCACTCTCTTGGTTCCGCCCTTGTGCTATCCTCTATTTATGATGTACTTCTGTTATCATCTCTGAGGATATATTTAAAAGCATATGAAAATGATGATTAATATTAGAATTTGGTTATTGCCAATTTGGTTAAATGCAATTGCCATAATCAGAATAAGTCACTTTTTAAGACAGCTGGCAAATTTCTTAATCGATCAGAATATTGTTTTGTAAAAAAAAAAAAAAAAAAAAAAAAAAAAAAAAAATCTGAATATTTCAGAACACGGTTTACTTATTTCTGCACATGTCCAAGTGAAAGCAATAGCACTTTTCACAATACATATCGTTTTAATGTAGCTTTATGTAGCCCATATGTCAAACAAAAATAAAAAATAAAATAAAAAAATTATATATATATATATATATATATATATATATGACTGTATTAAGATATTACAAACATGCAGCTAATATCATGTATTAATTTAGACAAAAACAACCTTACAAATTAATTAAACCTGTGTCCTTTTTTGAGTAATATTAATAATATCTCTACAGATTGCAGCACCACCACCACCATGACCAAACAGACGGGGCTTGTTCTTATATAGAAGCTGTTATCTAACACATTTATCCTTTCCTGACAATAAGGATGTTGCATTAAAATGTAATAAAGTAATTAAACCAGCCCATTGCTTCAGTCATTGACAAAAACTGTCAAAATTGCAAAGCGCGATTAAATAAACTGAAAAAAATAGGCTGTATTTTTTTTATAGTATGTTTTATACAAGGTTAACCTCAAGCAAGCATCAACTGAAGAACATGATGTAAGAAAAAGAACCCTGCAGATGAGACTAAATTGAAAAAAAAAAAAAAAAAATTATATATATATATATATATATATATATATATATATATAATTTTAATGGGATATTTCAGTATTTATGATTCATCAGTGCACATAGGAGCAGTCGTGGCATAATGATTAGAAAGTCAGACTGGTAACCTGAAGGTTGCCAATTGCTCCCCGGGAGCCACAATGAATGGCTGTCCGCTGTTCACTATTCACTACTCCTAATGTGTGTGCACTAACTTGAATGGGTTAAATACAGAGTATGATTTTCCATAATTGGCCTTCAAATTTCACTTTAAATTCATGTGCCAATAAGGAAGAAAAAGCTACACCAACTCACGTTACATGCCGACTTTAAGAATTAGGATACCACTTCCCCTTTCAGTTTCTATCTTGTTGTGTATTATATTATATTCTATATGTGTGTATATTGTCTACTATTATACACACTAATGCCAGAAAGAAGAGCGTTCATGCTCTGACCATTACTAAACATCACAGTGTGGGTCTTGAGCTATGGTGGACTGTGAACAATCACTTTCATCCGCGCCTGTGGTTACACAACCCAATGCTGGATTCCGCGCCTGTGGTTACACAACCCAATGCTGGATTCATTAGAGCAGCTTTGTGTTCACCAACGGTTATTTTTGTGCGCAACATTAAACTGCACTTAATTTTTCTCTTTCATGCCCATTTTCTTTGTCATTCTCACTTCTACACATTCCTCTTAGTTTGTGCTGATTGAGTTTCTCCAGCCTGTGACCGATGATCTCAATCCCTAAGGTTCAGACTATATATACCTGTAGTAGCAAGAGCACATAAGCACACTTCCAGCACTTGGATCAATCAAAAATTTCGTCAAATACGATTGATAATTAGCATACAATTAGGATTGGCGATATGGTTCTGTTCTGGGCGAGAACCCTGCGCATCATGCAGCCTAGCAGGGATAAGAGCAGGGAGAGCAGCATTAACCTATTGTAGATATGATTAATTCATTTTAATGGGCTATATGCACGCATAAGTTCCGCATTTGACGCAAGGATGCTCGTCCATTTCCGGTTGTGTAGATTAAAGCGGAGGAAAACCGGAGAAAACGGGATATTTATCAATATTTACTGTCCTCCCATCTTTGAAACGAAACGTACATACGTTTAGATGTAATTTTATATATAGTTATGTTTATTTAATATAATTTTAAAAAGAAGCATAAACACAACGAGGGGTGTCTGTTTTATCTGTTTTTGTGACTAACGTTTCATTAGTATAACCATGGAGTATAAAATTCAATATAAATTCTCGCTATTGCATTGGACTGTATGATCGGGGGAAGTTATCGAGCATCCTTACACCTTCACCTTGGCATCATATTCCTGTAGGTAGACGTGGATCATCTGAGAGTCAGCTGATGTGAGCTTGACTAACGTGACTTGCCAGAACTGACACTACGCTTGATGACTGTCACCATCATTGGCCTGTTTTTTTGAGAAGTGAAGAGAGGATGCTCCATTCTTTTGGATAGCAGCATTTCACCGTGTAATTTCGTGAACCGATGGCAGCTGATCCTTGTTAAATTCTGAGATGATCTCATATATGTTCGCATGTGGCATTCTGGTTACGCTTGTTGAATCGGGTGACATCATATACTGCTTTGTAAATAATACTCTACTCGACCACCTTTTTTCCCCCCATCAAATAGTGATCAAAACATTCTCCCATTTAAACCATGCCAGTTTGTGATTAGTCATTAAAAATCTGTTTATTCCAATCTTTAGGCATGAAGCACTTGGCAACAAAACTCAAAAAAACACCATAACTCATATTAGGCCCTAAAAAAAGTGGTTTATACCAAATGTGTTACTGCATTCAGGACCAATACACACAGTCAATCTCTTTTTATTAAATGCTCTTAGTCACTCAGGTGTGAGCTGGACGAACCTCTTGTGAGAGGTTTAACAATAATAACAATAGTTATAGGTAGATAGCCTGGATGCCAGCCCGAACCCCGCTCACAACATTTTTTGGTCGGGAAGTTCGGTCTGGACTCGATCCATTGAGGAGAAATTATGATCAGACAAGAAAAGTTCGGACCAATCAAATTGCCAGGACGGGCTTTATAAAATGATGGACAGGTGATCTGCAAGGACGTAATCATCATGTTATCAAAGAGTGCTTAACTGGTTTCCTTCAAAGATGACTGCAGCTGGAGAATTGAGATGATATTTAAATCTAGCGGGTTTGATGTCTCGCAAATACAATGACGCTGGTAGTGACGATTCTGTCTGACTCTGACGAATCAGTGGTCTGCAGTGTGTTCACGTCACAGTTTAGTATTGGTACGGTACGCTTGGAACCTCAGCAGAGGTAGTACCATTTAAAGCGAGCTGAAGCAAGCCGTACCATACCGTACAATGCAGTGGAAAAGCGCCAAAGTGTGCCGTACCGAACCATGCCGTACCGTACCGTATCCATGCAGTGGGAAAGCGCAAAAAAAGTGTTGCCCCGCAGGCCTCACTGAACGTACGGTATCCGAGAACACAGACTATTCCTCCTAAAATTAGAACATAAAATTACTCACAATATAACTATAAACAAACATTGCGCAGTAGCAGTAGTTACACATACCTTAACTAGCGGGTTGCAAGTCCAAATGAATCACACACACAGAGACGAAGGCTATCGCCATGTCAATGTAGCACGGGAGTATGGGAGGAGCATGTGAATGGGAAATAGCCGCTGCCAACAACCCAAAGCAACAAATTATCCGCCATAAAGCTATAGACCTTAGGCAGCAGAGAAACGTGGGCGCCGTCATCTTTAAAATATTGTCTTTGAACTTCTGTTTTTGTGGGCGCTCTGTATATCTCTATGGCATCGCTGCCGAGAAGTAATTAGCTGGTGAAGTGGATTTACGTATTGTAGCGTTAACTAAAGTTATCATGAGCATTGTAATGTTTATCATAAGCATTGTAAAGCAGATGTCTTAACAAATGTCGACCAGGATTTTTTTTTTTACGAGCAGTTCATTCACACCTATGCAAGATCGTTGTGAGAATACAGACCGGAAGTCAAAAGTCAACGAGCGCAGCGTTGAAAAGGGGTGGGGCTATACATAAGGTCTATAAGCCAAGGTCTCGTTCTCACCTCTCAGGGAACCGAGGTTACGATAGTAACCGCAGACGTTTTAGCGCCCAAAGAGGAATTTGAGTAAGAAAAATATTTATATTTACATATTTTCATATATACGAGTATTGCGACGTACTGCTGATATTAGAGCCAGACCGATATATCGGCAGGCCGATATTATCGGCCGATATTAGGCATTTTCTAAAATATCGGTATCGGCAGTTATAATGGCCGATAAATGAATATTTCAAAAATAAAATAAAAAACGGGCGAATCACGCTTCAACCATGTCATGAGTGTTGGAGTTGTATAGTTTGTCCACCAGAGGGCACTCTACACCGTCCCTGTTGGCAAGACTCGTGTATAACTCACCACACATCCTACAACCTGCTTATCCAGCCAGAGTCAGGCAGAAGGAACCAGTTATGCATTATCATATTATTTTAGTTAAAACTCATAATTAACTACAAATAACTTATGTTAGGGAAATCTGATATTTTGTTGCTCGTTTCTGAAATAAAAAAATAATATCGGCCAATATATCGGAAAATCGGATTTTAAAACCAACAAATATTTGTATCGGTATCGGCCTTCAAAATCCTTTGTCGGTCGGGCTCTAGCTGATATGTACGCTATGCCATGATGCACTACGCTACCTATGACCTCATAAATTTCGTAAGTTATGCATTAGGGACAAGTACACCGCATATAGCCGTTTGAGCGGAACCTAGAATTTTATCTTGAAACTAACGTGTTAAATGTTTTCTTACATAAACTCATCGTTTTGCTTCAGAAGGCCTTATTAACCCACTGGAGCCGTTTAGAGTTCGCTCACGATTGATGGACGTACGTTTTTGAGCTTCTATCTGTTGGTTGCAATCCACTGCCATTTTAAACTTGGAAGAGCTAGGATATTTTTTAAT